CTTATGTGACGTGACGTAATTTGGTTCCAATCACCCGTTATCGGAATAACAGTTATATATATATATATATATATATATATATATATATATATATATATTATCATCCACAGATTGATTGTTTCGCTGTATCACAGCTCATCAGTGTGGCTAGATATCCGCTTGCTTCAAGCCAGGATTGAATATATATATATATATATATATATATATATATATGTGTGTGTGTGTGTGTGTGTGTGTGTGTATTATTGCATGCACAGACTATATAAATATATACATTTACTTCTATACGTGTATGTACATGCAGTGTGTGATGGATGAATTGTCGTGTAAATAACGTAATATGGAAAATAACAGACATCTCATTTTAGATATATTTATCAAAATTACACAAAAATATCTTATGAAAGAGTAAATTTATTCAATAAAATCGCTATTCAACCAACTCATAATAAGATTAATCTAGCGTTTTCAAGAGACTTATGTGACGTGACGTAATTTGGTTCCAATCACCCGTTATCGGAATAACAGTTATATATATATATATATATATATATATATTATCATCCACAGATTGATTGTTTCGCTGTATCACAGCTCATCAGTGTGGCTAGACATCCGCTTGCTTCAAGCCAGGATTGAATATATATATATATATATATATATATATATATATATATATATATATATATATATATGTGTGTGTGTGTGTGTGTGTGTGTGTGTGTGTGTGTATTATTGCATGCATAGACTATATAAATATATACATTTACTTCTATACGTGTATGTACATGCAGTGTGTGATGGATAAATTATCGTGTAAATAACGCAATATGGAAAATAACAGACATCTCATTTTAGATATATTTATCAAAATTACACAAAAATATCTTATCAAAGAGTAAATTTATTCAATAAAATCGCCATTGGATTCAATCACGTCCTCCAGACGACTTCGGAATCCTCTGCAACTCTTCTGGACGGTCTCCTTGTTCACGTTGGTGAATGCTGCCATAATCCTTGCCTTCAGTTCATCTTTGGTGTTGCAAGCAGTTTTATTGATCTCTCTCACAACTGCGCTCCACACATAATAATCAAGTGAATTTCAGTGTGGGGGGTTAGGCGGTCAGATGTAAGGGGTGATGTTGTTGCAGAAATTGTATGACTTCCATGACTGTGTTTTCATGCTTATGTCGCATAGTGCAGAATCCTGTTGCCAGACATAGCGTATTCCAGCAACTAACCTCTTGACCTAGAGCATCACTACCTGCTCAAAGCTCTTGATGTAATCCACTTGTGCTGAGTATGAGGTCTTCACCAAGAAATTCGGTATTTCTTTTCTTATCGGAACAATCAGAGCGAATTTTCCGAGCTCCGATACATTCGGAATTATCATTAGACTCATCCAACTCGTTCGAAATCCTCTGCACAGTCCTCAGATTTTGGGGTGATGAATGGAGGCATAATGTCGCCATCACTATTGATCATTCCCAACAACTTCGTAATCACCATTAGACTCACCCAACTCTTTCCAAATCCTCTGCACTGTCCTCAGATTGACACCCAAACACTCTGAAATGTTCGTATTGGAGCTTTCCGGCGTGAATGCCAAGCAGTACACACCGTTTCCAAATCTCTGCCCGAGTGAATTGCGACATGGCGTTCATTTTCTCACAGACAGTGCCCAACGTACCATACTATAGTGTGTATTCGACAAAACCCAAAACAAAGTGCATGCGTGAAATTAAAAATATAAAATGCGACAATTTACCAATCGCTTTCTTTATATATCCAGCAACGTAGCAATGTATAGAGGCTCATATGCATCACAATCATATGACATGTCTGTCTTGGATATAACCTCAAAAGTGTCAGAAAAATGCGACGTGTCAGATGTATGTGTAAAAAGTGAATCAACATTCGTCGATTTTAATTCAAGGTAAAATCGTTGAAGAACTCGGGCTTGATTTCTTTGTGTTATGTGTTATTTGTTTTGCAAAGGTTGTATATTTTGCTTAATATAAAATGGACAATGAGTTAACCTTTGCCGATTCCTCTAGAAAGGAATATTTCTTTAAAAGCAGTTTTCTTCTCGCTATGATGAATCAAGTGCAGTTTGCATAGAGTTGAACGCGGGAAAAGAAAGAAATCTCATATAAGTATTTCATAACAAACAAAAAAGGATGAAGAGAAGAAAAATAAAAGGAAATAATAATGTAGGACTGATCGAAGAAAGAAAGAAAGAAAGAAAGAAAGAAAGAAAGAAAGAAAGAAAGAAAGAAAGAAAGAAAGTTGGGTTATACAATAAAAGAAGACGTAAATAATGAAAAGGCAATCTAAAGAAACAAATTATAATTAAGAAAGAAAGAAAAAAAGAAAGAAAGCATGAAAGAAAAAAATCATGAAAAGAGAGAAAAGAGAGAGAGAAGTAGAAAAAGAACCTAAAGAAAAAATTAATTAAGAAATTATAATTTAGAAGGAAAGAAAGAAAGCAATCAAGGAAGAACGTAAGAAAGAAAGAAAGAAAGAAAGAAAGGGGTTATATATTTAACAATAAAAAAGACGTAAATAATGAAAAGGCAATCTAAAAGAAACAAATTATAATTAAGAAAGAAAGAAAGAAAGAAAAAGAAAGAAAGCATGAAAGAAAAAAATCATGAAAGAGAGAAAGAGCGAGAGAGAAGTAGAAAGAACCTAAAGAAAAAATTAATTAAGAAATTATAATTTAGAATGAAAGAAAGAAAGCAATCAAGGAAGAACGTAAGAAAGAAAGAAAGAAAGAAAGAAAGAAAGAAAGAAAGGGGTTATATATTTAACAATAAAAGAAGACGTAAATAATGAAAAGGCAATCTAAAGAAACAAATTATAATTAAGAAAGAAAGAAAGAAAGAAAAAAGAAAGAAAGCATGAAAGAAAAAATCATGAAAGAGAGAAAGAGCGAGAGAGAAGTAGAAAGAACCTAAAGAAAAATTAATTAAGAAATTATAATTTAGAAGGAAAGAAAGAAAGCAATCAAGGAAGAAAGAAAGAAAGAAAGAAAGAAAGAAAGAAAGAAAGAAAGGGGTTATATATTTAACAATAAAAGAAGACGTAAATAATGAAAAGGCAATCTAAAGAAACAAATTATAATTAAGAAAGAAAGAAAGAAAGAAAAAAGAAAGAAAGCATGAAAGAAAAAATCATGAAAGAGAGAAAGAGCGAGAGAGAAGTAGAAAGAACCTAAAGAAAAATTAATTAAGAAATTATAATTTAGAAGGAAAGAAAGAAAGCAATCAAGGAAGAACGTAAGAAAGAAAGAAAGAAAGAAAGAAAGAAAGAAAGAAGTATGAAAGAAAGATAGAGAAGAATAGAGGGAAAGAAATCGTGAAAAATGAAGGAATCTTAAGAAGGAAATTATAATTCAGACGGTACGTAGCAAACAGATAAAGACACATTGAAAGGGAATTAAAATGATCAGTAAAAAACGACACGAAGAATGAAAAGCCAAGTTATAGAAAGAAAGAAGTAAATAAAAGAAGAGGCAAAGACCCAAAACGGTCCCTTTTGTATATGTCTTCATTTAATAAAGGAATCTATAATTTCGGATATTTCTCAGTTGGCAAGTACTTCATCAAAACAAAGACGTAAAATCAAAAACAGACGTTTCATTTGAAATCTTTTATCATTTTGAGTTTTGCATGTTTTGTTACGCTTCTAGCTTTTCTCTTAACTTCGTTTTTTATTCATTTCGCCCGGATTAATGTCCTTTCTCTCTTCAGCTTCATTGACAGAAGCTCCTCGCCTTAAACAGTTATCACCCTTCGATTCCAACTCAAATTCTTTCTGAGATTATGGTTTGTTTATTTTTTCAACTTAGGATTATTTGAAATAGGTTATTCTTAATTCATTTCATATAGTAAAAGAAATCTACACCCTTGTGCAAATTAATTGAAACAATCGCTTTAGTTTCCTTTCTTACATCATACGGTCAGTTTTAGACCCACTAAAGTGACAGGGTGTAAATGATTTCTATTTTTGCCTTAGATTAGGTCATTTGTTGTGGTGTGCAGTAATATGAATCTGTTTCGGATGTTTGATGAAATTGCAACAGATTTTCATCACGCCCAGACACTATTTTCTCGAATGTCGATTAATTGTCCTACGATCAATGTCTGCGATTGTCGTTACTCCAAAGAAGCGTAAGAAAATTGTTACGGTACTCGAACATACTAGCAAGCCTTACAAGTGAACAAATCAAAATACTATAGACTGGCATGGAAATTTTCCTAATTTAAATCCAATCGAGAATCTGTGGTTAATCTGCAAGGAACGACTTCGTGGAATGGACATACGAAGTACTAACATCTGCACTGGGTCATGTTTCATTGGGAAATTAAAAAAAAAATAACGGAATTATTCGTTTTGTTTCAATTAATTTGCACAAGGGTGAACAAATGAGAATGGTATTTATTCTAAACCGGCCATTCTAGTGAGGAGAGTGGCTAGACACGCAGCAAAATTATAAACAAGAACTGTCAAAAAACTTTCTTTTAGGGTCACTTATTTGATGCTCCGGGGAGATACTGAGCATACCATGGACCGAACGTGTAAGCAACGACGAGCTTTTAAAGAAAATGATAACAAAAAGGAAACTTATACTTAACACCTGGAAGAAAAAGTTGAAATTACTGTGGTACATAATGAGGAAGAAGGGCTTGGAAATTCTGGTACTCACAGGATAGATTGAGAGCAAAAGGGATAGAAGAAAAGTAGCACGTAACATGCATGATGGGCTTGAGTAAATGGATGGCAAAAACAGGGTTTAGGAGAGATAACAAAAAGACAAAATTTATTAAGATTTACAAAGGACAGGAAATTCTAGAGTGCCATGATCGCCTACTTCATAAGGGAACACAACGCATAATGGCGGTCGCATGGGAATACTAGGTGCTGTAAACCTGAGCGTGCAGGGATATAATGGGTAAGGGCGCGGAGGCCTGAGAGCCGTGTTCCAATTCCAGTCGAGTTTGTAATATTCACTTACGCGCAAATAAGATTGGGAAAGTTATGAATCCACCTCTTCTCTCCCCCAGGTAAGGGTCAATCAGTAAAAATTGTATCAGTAAATTGTTATTATCTCCAAAATATTCTTACAATCTAAAAATCTTTTCTGGCTTTCATTAACACAGAAGGTGCGGCTCGAATTGAGGAATCGAAGAGCGCTGTTTGAATTCCAGTCGAATCCATTACATTCACTTACGTGCTAATACCTTGAATCCTCTTCACTCCCCACTATGGATAAATAAAAACAGCAGAACAGACTGGTATAGGAGAAGGACAACTCTGAATTCAAAACCTGATGTCCAGTAGATTAACAACCTACTCACTTCAAAACTGGCTTGTTACAAAAACAGCAAGGATATCTTCCTTAAGGAATTTAAAGGCATAATATATATATATATATATATATATATATATATATATATTTCAATAAAGGTGCAATTAATTTACAAATTCATGAATTATTCATACAAAAAACAAATACAAAGGTTAATGATTTAATTGGCGAGAAATCCATCGTCGCGAACAATTCAAATAATATACAAAAACCCCGAACCTATTATGAATGAAAAGATCCTTGTTTCTATAAATTTGTGTTGCATGAGTTCTTATTATTTTTACAAGCTTTCGCCTGTTCCTACAGACATCCTCAGGTATGGAATAGATTTTGTTCTTGTTTTTTCTCTCAGTGATAAGAGGACAACGAAAATATATGTATTGTTGTATTCCGAAAAATGCTATTAGAAATGAGTTATTGTTTTTGGAGCGTGCTGTCGCAACACTGAGTTTGAATTTAAATTTTACAATTGTGCGTTCTTATACAAATCATATAAAATATTTTCGAATATATATATATATATATATATATATATATATATATATATATATATATGAAGAAATATAGTTTTAATGTGTGCTATATTTATAAAAAAAAGGTGATCAATATTAGAGATAGAGCATATGTAAATATAAAAGTGAACATTGAAGTCAACACTCAGAGGCGACAGGCAGTTTCATACTAGACGCAATCGTCAGGCCTGAATATCTACTTGTTTAAAAAGAGGAGGAGAAGGAAGAGGAGGATTTTTCCTTCTGTGGTTGAAGGGAAGATTGGGTAACAATACGTAAAAATAGATCAAAAATTTCATCTTTACGTGTTCTTTTCTTATTACTTCCTTCATCTGCCTAGACTTTTACATTCCGTCTTTCGAAAACTTTTTATTCAATCTTTCGAAATCAATAAATCATCGATCAAGAATCGATCAGCAGATTTCTTTTTAAACAAGTATATATTCAGCACTAGCCATCGCTAGAAACATCAAATGATCCAATGCAATCAAATAAAAAGCAGCAATTATTCGGTTGGAACATCACATCAAGATTCCTTTGCAGGAATATTAGAGTGGGTTGAAGATCAAGACGTACATGGTGCTGTTGAAAATTCACTCCATTGTCACCAAATATAAGCGAGTGTCGTTACATGATATAGCCCGTCATCGTGATCAAATTCACTCCGGAAGATGTACCTTCTCAAACCTAAGTCACAAGTTAAAAAGAAAGAATAAGAAATGGGTTTTATATATATATATATATATATATATATATATATATATATATATATATATATATTGACTCTCCCGTCGAATTCGACGTATGAGGGTCAAGCAGATCAGTTCCTAGAAAACTGACAGCCCGACGCCAGCACATAAGATTTGATTATAGTGGTGAAGGTTTCGTGCAGAAACCTCCACACTTTTTGAAGGGCCAAATACAAAGACTTGGTGCACTATGTGCCCCAGGGTACCCTTCGTAGGTTTTGAATTCAGAGTTGTCCTTCTTCTAGACCAGTTGCCATCCAAGGCTATAGAACCCAGTCTGTCCTGCTATTTACCCATAACTGGAGGGAGAAGAAAAGGATTCCTCAATCCATGTCTCTATCTATCAAGTCCTGTGCCTTCTATATATATATATATATATATATATATATATATATATATATATATATATATGAAACCCCTTATCTTATATTTCTTCAATAGTGCAAGCGCCCCGTGTATCAACAACATTTTTAGTTCATTTTAAAATCGCTACTTCATGTTTTCTTTTTTTTTTGTTATTTATTTTTGTACTTTATTTTTTTTTTTTTTCATTTATATAATTTAATAAAATATAGTGGTTCTGAGGAGGCAGGTTTATATATATATATATATAAACTTAACTTTTAATAGTTTTATATTAAAAAGATATCCTTGATTAATTCCTACGGGTATTATTATATATATATATATATATATATATATATATATATATATATATATATATATATATTAACACATGTAAAAATCGCTACATAATTATAGTCGTGTTTCAATGCATCTCATCAGGTGATTGTAAATAACTGATGAGTGAAAGATTTGTTTAGATTGAAAAGAAATAATACTACAGGAATAATACATCACTTTCAAAATATTTTTGGAGTTTAAAAGATTATAATACTCCAAATCTGAAAGGCCTTAAACAAAAATTTCCTTTGTTCGCCTAAACAGATTAACAGGTCTTTGATATAGAAATCTGTTTTTTTCTAAGAATGCAATACTTGATGAAAAACAGTATTTTCCTTAACAACGAAAGAATTTTATATATATATGTCTGCCTTAGGAAAAGATGTTCTTCGTAAAGAGAATTCTCGTCGTTTTTAAGTGTTCTATCTTTCTTTCGTTAGCAGCAGCAGCAAGTATAGTAACAGTAGTCTTTTATCATCCTATGTCCAAGCTTATTCGCCAGAGTGGTAGAATCCTCTCTAACTTCGCAGACAAGATTTCCCCTTTATATAGCAAACATGTAGCTCCAACCGAATAAGAAAACAACTCCGTATAGCGCGTGTACTTTTTTGTCTCTATTGGTTAAAAACTAAAGAATCACTACCCAATAAAACCGCGCTCGTTTTCAACTTAAATTTAGATTAGTTTATCTTTTATAAAAGCTGAAACTACTTTTAGTATAATTTTGACACAGAATATTTAAACTAGCGTTTTATTTTTTTTTATAAATCATCTGGTTATATTTTGGTGGTTTTTATTGAAGTAAATTGAAACTTTTTGTGTTTATTTTTATTCAGGTTGCCTATCTTTTTTGTAAACCGTCTGGCTTCATTTTGATGTTTTCATTTTCAAAGAAACCATGTTAGAAACATTATATTATTCATATTTCGTTTTTCATACATTAACTTCCTTATTACAAATCGTCGTCGGCAACTGCCCGCACCCGAGGATTGGAATTCCTCTCCCCATATTCCCTTTCTCTATCTCTGGTGACGAGTAGGGTCCTCCTGATAACACGTTGCGGATCATCTTCATGTTGACGGTTGGACACAAAAGTCTCTCCCCACTCTCGAATGGTCCTACGTCAGGAAAGGTGATCTGCAGCAAAGTTTTCCCGGGTCTCAGAGTCGATATTTCCTGTGTCAGTGATATTTTCATCTGTTCCTTGAAGTGGCGTTCTAGTCCACCGCGTAAGCTGTCGCTGGAGGGTGAGTTCTCAAACTTGAAAGATACGTGAGAATCGAGTGGGACGCATTCTGAACTCGTGACCCCTTCAGAAATAATTTTTTATACAAGCAAACAATCCATTATCTGGAGGAATCAGTTTCTTTTCTAATTAGTGAACACAAAAGGGAATCATTCGATCCCCTAAGTTACTCGCAACACTACCGGAGGCTTGTACGCTAACGCTCTGGGGTAAATATAAATTTCGCTAGACACATGTGTACTTGGTGTCCTGTTACAGGGAACTGATCGCCGATCGTCTGTATTGATACAGCTAGGGTACATTTTCTCTTATTTCTACTGAGGGCGCCCAACAATGCATCGATTTTGAATTTCTGTATTATGTGGTCGTCCAGAACCTTCTCTACAGATCGAGGAATGTTGAAGTGATTAATCTAGCCAACGCCGAATTATCATCTCCTGGAAATTATCACTCACCCCATTAAACGCTCTTCAGTACGATTCTTCTCGAACAGTTATAATGAAGAGAGGACCATTTATGCATCGAATTGTACCTGCATGCATTGGACTCGTCGCACCGAACCTTATTGCAGCAGGAATAACCGCGAAATGTGTAGTTAACAAAGCATATGTATGAGAGCTAGCACATCATGAGATAGAGGAAAAACGAAAATGATATCATAATGTTTAATACTTACTAGGATACATAGCATGCATCATTGTGTGTCCAGTTTCGATTGGGCCACCTTCTTCAAGGTAGTGCAAATTATTTTACTTATTATCTGTGAAAAAGAAATCACGGATACATTATATAGGCTAAAATTTGGCGGACACCGTCTGAATGTGAGAGATTCTCCTAAAAATTGAACGTTGCATATCAAAACTAATTTACTACCTCACTTGGCGCGAGAAGAAATTGAAAAAAAAAATCCCTGGAAATCCCAGCTTAAGAGAAATAATAAAAACTGTGTTGATAAGTAGAGATCACACGCTAAGCCTAACTTTGCCCATGTAACGCTAGTAATGTTATGAGAGTTAGAAAACAAATCATGAAATGTAACCATAACAACACACCACTACCTGTCTTAGGTTTTTCCTGTAGATTTAGTAGGTAGTGTTACCATAGCAGACATCAAATAATAATAATAATAATAATAATAATAATAATAACGAAATTAACGTTGCATTACTGCGTAAAGGGCGCCTCAAGGGCAACAGCTATAGATTTTTTAAAAGCCTTTGACAATGTGTAGAATAGATGGTTTCTACAAAGTCTCTCTAGTTATGGAACCATTGAAAAAGTCCTTTCTCTCGAGTAGGTTCCTGAAGAGCGTTTTTAACGTCCAATCCACCGGGATCCAAGCGCTCAATGCAGCGTCGTCCAGGGTGAATATCTATGCTGTATATGCAGTGCAGTGGTAATGGGTACACCTCCAAAACTCTAGATGACAGCTGATCTCTTCTCTCTCTAGTTATATTCAATGACTGGAAAACAAAACTCGTGATGAGGATGCAAGAGGATGCTTCCCCGATCACTACAATCCTAATCTGTTCAAGTATAGGGTTAACCGTTATTTTCCCCTCTTATCCCCATAAATTGTGTCTCTTAACTCTCTACCTCGAGTGGCTCTTGTGCCATGTACAAGGTGTACATCATTGTTAAAAAAAGAAAAAGTTTCTTTGAAAGTCTCTCTCTTTTTGCCTAATCTGCCTTGTTGATTAATGGCAATCTTAATGCTGGCAGATACTAAATTTTAAAAACCCCTTCTCTAAATGGGTTAAATAGTTAAGGCATCGAAGCATACTAGGGATTAATTAAACCAAAGATGATATGAAATTTACTAATAATTAAATCTAGAGAATCAGTCCAGTATGGGATCTATAGTGTATTTGAATATATATGTGATTTTTTAATGAACTATATGAAATAACATATATACATATATTTATCTTTTTTCTAAGTAAATATAAGAAGCACAAAATATACATCCTGTTGCGCAAAGTTTTTATCCGTTCCAATCATTAAAGGAAATAATAACCCAAGAATATATTAGCAATATGGTGTTGTTATAGTAACAGGAAATATTCTTAATAATAGCATATTATCTCATTATTAAGTAGGGTAGATCAGGTTGCCTGACTTATAAATCTATGCAAATACAAATGTATTGCTAATGATGTTATTACAAAAAGAAAGACAATCAAGGAAAGTAATTTATTTTGTTTCTTTCTTTATTTCTTTTCCATCTAATTATCTTGTTTTCTTTTTCCATCTTTCATTCTTTTATATTTTCTTTCTTTCTTTCTTTCTTTCTTTCTTTTTCCATCTTTCCTTCTTTCTTTATTTATTTCTTTTTCTATCTTTCTTTCTTTCCTTCTTTGTTTCTTTCTTTTTTTCCAGCTAATTTTCTTGTTTTCCTTTTCCATCTTTCTTTTTTTCTTCTTTCTTTCTTTCTTTCTTTCTTTCTCTCTTGTTTTTATCCATCTTTCATTCTTTTACATTTTCTTTCTTTCTTTCATTCTTTTTCAATCTTTTTTCTTTCTTTCTTTCCTTTCTTTCTTTCTTTCTTTTTTATTTCTTTTTCCATCTTTCATTCCTTCCTTCTTTCTTTTTTTGTTTTCCTTTTTGCATCTTTCATTCTTTTTCATTTTCTTTCTTTCTTGTTTTCATTTTTCATCTTTTTTTTCTTTCTTTCTTTCTTTCTTTCTCAATCTTTCATTTTTTTCATTTTTTTTCTTTCTTTCTTTTTCAGTCTTTAATTTTTTTTTTCCATTTTCTTTCTTTCTTTCTTTCTTTCTTTCTTTCTTTCTTTCTTTCTTTCTTTCTCCATTTTCCCATCAACCTTTCTTCCCGCTGGCTTTTGCTCATGGCTTTGCTCTCATCTCCCTCCCTCTACCTCCTCTCTTTCAATTTTTTCTCTGTATTTTACCCCAAAGTCTTCATCTTACCTTCGACACTTTCTTTGCTTTGGACTTTTATGCCTATTAATATATTTTTATTGTTTTGTTCATCTGCCGATTCTATGAGATTCTGATTTCTTCATCTTTTGACCAGTTATACCACCCGCCTCTCTCACTGATTCTTTGTTCTCAGTTTATTCCCCCCAATACCCACACCCCATACCCTCGACGGCTTGCTTTCATCAAACCTTATTAACCCAAATTACCGACGATGATTTCTCATTTCAGAATCGCAAAACGAAACAAAGAGCAAAAACAAAAAAAATAAAGAAACACCATGAAAAAAAGTTCATTGTTTATTTTCTTCAACATCAATCACTGACGATTACAAATCTTTGGCAAAGATACGGAGACGTGATACGAAGGACTTGCCAATTTGTTACTAAAGGTTAAATTTAAAAGCTCAAATCACGATCATCTGAGAGTGTCATCTAACTAAATTAGGTACTTCCACTAATTTTTAAACCTAAATAGGAAAAAGTATTTTGAAGCTTGCTTTTTAGCTTCAATTCAAAGCTAAATAATTAAATTTACTATTTCCAGTAAGCAATATACGCCGGTGTATTTCAAATAGAAATTATGTTGATTGGAATCGATTTTTTTCTTTTTTGGTTGCATTAAGTAAAATCATTTAAATCGGTCATTTCGATACGCTTTTTAACACATTTCTAAACAAAAGTTAATTCTTGGTTTTAAAAATCTTCCAAAAATAAAATTTACTTTTCTGAAACTTTATTTGAGCGATATTAGCCGAGTTAAAGTATAATTAATCTGATTTGAAAAATATATTATTTACTTTAAGATAACAGAGAAATTGAACATTAGCAGTTTTTAATCTCTCGTCAATCACGTAACAAGTGTTGATATTGGTGTAGACAGATTTATACGGAGACTTTATCTGTTAAAACATAATTTAAGAAAATGACGGGTGATCCTTTTTTTTATATCATTTTTAAGTAATCTTAAAAATGTTGGAAATATTCTTCGTAATCTAATTTTGGCAATGTAAACTTTAAATTTACTGTAGTCATCGCTTTTATTTTATTTAATGTCGTGTATGGTCGACCATACTGTCAGAAATGGGTACGTTATATAATAATTTATATACATAAAAAATTTAAATAAATATTTTTAAAATCGTGATGCTAAATTTTTTGTATTAAGCATTCCAATTTTTGATTAGTAAATATAGTTTTAATAACAATATCAACTAAGAGGATGAAAGTAATGCAGAATTTGAAAAGATTATAAACTATTATAATTAAAATTAAAGAAAATATGGAAACAATTCTTGTAAAAATGTTTTATTCTTCAAAATTTTTTTTCTTAAATGTCTTTAATAAATCTTATTTATAAAAGCAATTAAAAGCATTTCTATTTAAATAATGTCATAGTTTTATTGCATTTTTTATTTTATGATCCGGAGCAGGTTTTGGGGAAATGAGTTTTACTTTGAAAAAAAGATCGATGATTTACTTTCCCCAAAGAGTCCTGCTTTTAAATAAAAAAAAATTCTGATGAAAGTTTATTTTCTCGGAATTTCATGAAATTAAATACGTGAGGGTTGGGTAACAGATGTAAAAAATATTTTTTACTTAAATTTTCTTTAAGAAAAATTTAAAAAATAATTGCATTCTTTTATGAATAAGTCCTAAAAGTTTCATTAAAAACCGCTAATCATTTGACTTTTGCAAGAATTTCCAAATCAATGTGTTTTTCATCGGGAAATGTGCAAAACACTAAATAATAAAATATAAACGTCGACCGATGACGCAATAAAAACAAGATTTTTAACCAAAATTTTGAACGTGATAGTAGGGATTAAAAAAATTAATAAAATAATTAAAAAATACTTTATTTTTTCCTCTTGATAAAAGCATACACATTTTGATGATAAAACAATTTGTATTAAGTTTTGGGCTTTTTTTTTTCATTATGCTATGCTGTTTTTTCAGCGAAAAAGTGGGAGTACATATCTACAAAGAAAATATCATTTATAAAATCAGGCAGAAAGTTAATAATAATAGTCGTAGTATTAGTAGTAGTAGTAATAATACGAATAATAATATATGAAATTTAATGTCTATATGATCGAGTGTTTTTTAAGGGATTATTAATTGTTTGCAGGTTATTTAAAGCCAGAAAATATTTTTAGATTGTAGGAATATTTTAGGGATAATAATGATTTACTGATCCAAGTCCTACTAACTAAATCATCGTTGGTGGGAAAAAGTGGTGGATTCATACCGTTCCCAAGGGTATTTGCGCGTAAGTGAATATAACGAACAGGACTGGAATTTGAACTCGGCTCTCCGACTTCCAATTCCTTGCCATTCCCCGCACGTCCACGCTTATAGCATCTGGTATTCCCAATCGGTCATTCATATAGCTACTGATCAGGCTCGACGTTGCTTAACTTCGGTGATTTTGTGATAACCGGTGTTTCAACGTGATATGGCGGTAAGCTTTAATGGCTATCAAAAGATATGTATGTGCATGCATATGTGTCTGTGTGTGTTCGCGCGCATGTGCGTGTGTGTGTGCTTATTCTCCAAATCTTTTGATAATAGTATATTTGCGTTTCTTAACTCGACATTTCGTTGACTATCTGCCACAGCGTCCTTCTGGGGTAAAATCATTTTTAATTTGCCGCTGTTTCTCCATTTCGAACTCGTATAAACGTAATGTCACTTTTTTTCCTGATCTAAATGACCAAATTCGCTAATGTTAATTCTAGCATACATTTTTGGCAAGATTTCTTTTCAAATGTAGCGTTCACGAGAAAAGAAAAAAAGAATTTCTTAAAAAAAAAAATAAAGTCGACATTAACATGAAGAAAATTAAAGACTGCAACAGCCGAAAATCCGGAATGAAGACAAAAAAGATGATCTTCACCTATCTGCCACGTCAGTTTAGGTCATAGGTGATCATGGCTCTCCACAAATTCCTATCCCTTGAGGCCCTTAGCTGTTTTCTCGCTTTCCTAAATCTCCCACCCCCGTTGCACCATCCAATCACCCAAGCTTGTCAGATAAGAGGATCATTGTCTACCCTTATCTCTCTTGTCGTCAGTATGTCCAGTGAGTGTTAACCTTTCCAAGGCCTCTTTCCTCATTATGTGTACAATTTCAGCTGTTTTTCTTAATTCTGAATATGAGTTTTTTTTGTGTTTTTTTTTTTCTGTTGTCATTTTCTTTAAGATTTCCTTATTCTTTACTTCCTCCGTTCATGAAATTTTCAGTATGCATCCGTGGAACCATATTTCGGCTTCCTATAGTTTTGTCCTGATCCGTAGGAAACATCCAAAAATTTGTTTTGTCGTTACGTGATATTTAATAAATTTCTATGCGCGTAGTAAATGTAATCGTTTTCTATATAAGTTTAATGCTAGTATTAAAATTATTATTTGATCCATGCAATGTTGATTCCTTATACCTATGACTGTATGTAAGTGTAATATAATCTATCTCTCTTTCTCTACACACACACACACACACACACACACATATATATATATATATATATATATACGTATGTATGTATAAACAAATATAGTTTTAGATAAGCTATATTTATGGGATAAAGTGCTCAATAACATGACTGCATTATATATATATATATATATATATATATATATATATATATATATATATAATTATTTTTTTTTTAAATATATGATTCCATGGCTACACAGGAATTACCATGTTTCAAAACAGAAGCTAAAAACTCCCAATTCAATGGAATATTATATTTTTTTTAAATAATTATAATCTAGTTTGTGTCTGGTGCATCGAGCATTGTTTTTTTTTCTTTATTTTTTTTTAAAATAAAAACAAAAATACTAAAGAAATTCGAACCATCAATTTAACGGTTCTTTCCTATTTTATCAATATATTTGCGCACACACATATACACAAAGACATATACACACACACACACACACACACATATATATATATATATATATATATATATATATATATATATATATATTGCAGCTACACACATGCACGAATGAGTGATGCTGGTAATTTTAAATTTGAATTTGTATATTTTTCAGACAATACATCAAATGCATTAGTTGACCACTGTAACGAGACTGGCAACAATTTTGACATTAAAAACAATTCGCTACGACGAAAATGCTTCGAGAATGCCTTCATCGCAAGGGTCATCCACAGTAAATTTGCCCCCAGTTGCCAACGGTTGTAGAAATAAAAAAGAAAAAGAATCTAAATGAAATCAGATAGATAAAAAAAGAAATTGAATTTAAAATTCCCACGTTTGTCGTGCGCATGTGTAGTTGCATCCACATACAAACTTAGCCCAGTTACAGCAGATTGTTTAAAATATCTAGCTTTTAACTAATAGTTTTATATAGTTTTTTTTAATATTTAGACATTTCAATAACTTAGTTACCTCCCTTGATGTTTGCATCATGAAATTAAAAAAATTGTACAGTACATAATCTTAGCGCTTTTCATTTCAATAGTAAAAATTTTATTTTCAGATGAGCACATCAATTTTGTCTCCGAAAAATTATGAACACACCAATTTATTCTCCGATGATTACATTGGAATAAAATTAATATGCATCAACATAGCAATTTTCTTTCTTCTTTTAATAAGGATACTAAGAAACTTGTCCGTAATTACGTGAGGACCCTATTAAACATAAGTACCGAAAACTTGTCAAAATTATTCCATGAGACATTTCTTTATACATATATATATGTGCGTGTGTGTGTAGATATTTTAGGTGTACTGCGCATTAATTTTTTATGTCTTCGGGTGATACTTTCCATGCGTGTGTGTAATTCCAGTGGCATCCGTGCTATATTCACTTAGTTTCATGCTAAACAAATTCAATTAAGACAAGATAAATTCAGACAAAGAGAAAAATAAACTCATCTCAAGGAAGAAAGAAATCAACAACAAATGGACATATCGTTTATTCTGTATCGCTAAATACCAGGCTAATATTTTCCGAAATTTATCGAGCATTATTCCTCTATTCTGATAGAGCCG